AAAAAGATCTTTGCTAGGAAGAAACGCTGCATTCTGGCATCAATAAACCAGCATGCTTTGCAGCTAAAGACTGCATCGTTGCTAATTTATGACCGCTAGTGCAGAAATCCATGAAACTCTTTAACAGCTGTTTTTTTCTAAGTAGAACACTTAAAACGCTCTTAAACTCTTACGATAGGACGATCTTAATTTGGCGTATGATCTTCTTTTCAGACGAGTCGTACGGATCTCAGCGCTGTCCAAACTTTCTAAGCCAAAGTTGCGCTACAGTTGCGGCGATGCTCATTGAACTGATCTTGCCAACATAAAGACAACGAGGCAGACGAAGGATAGCGGCGAACGGACCGACATCCTGAAAGATGCATCAAGCCAGGTCACCCTTAGTCAAAGCGGTGGACACATGACTCACCAAATAAAGTCTGAGAGAAAACCAGATCCAGAGACTTGCGAGCTGCGCCTTAAGCCTTGTGTCGTGATTAAGACCGTAGTTCTACTCCAGAGATCGTCATATGATTATCATGTGTTCTTTTTGACCACATTGGCCATCCTCACTTTATTTCTTCCCCAGTCTTACTTAATACTGAATGGGGGGAAAAAAAAGGCAAACAAAGTGCTACCACTAATTCGTTCCTTCCTGTGTGCGGTTTCTTGAAAAGCTTTCTGAGACATTAAGGAGGCTACTAACCGAAGCAGGACTTAGATGGTTTATCGTGAATACTGGCAGAGAAAGAAAGAAAAGTGTTGATCAGTGATACATGTGTAAAAATCAAGGGTTTTTTTTTTTTTTGGAGTTTGCTGCATGGAGAGTCCTGTTCCTGGTGGCTGCACATTGTATGGAGATCAGTGTAGTGGTCTCAAAGGTGTCTCTATGGTTTCACACAGTGCATCTCTGTATGAAATTTGGAAGAAAGATTCATTCATCTCTGCACAATGGCTAACAAAGAGGGCACTGAGTCCCGGCCAAATATCACAAGTTACATTGAAAACAAACAAAACGGTCTTGCTGTATACCGAGGAGGCAAAACCTCCCAATGACTGATAAGGGGCTGTGCAGAATTTGGGCGCTGTGGGAGAAATGGCCTCTGTGGCTTTGCATTCAAGTCATTTGGCCATTTGGAGCACCAGGAAATGACAAACATTCCTCATTCCCAGAAACAAAATAAACTCAAATCGAGCTTCCTACTATTTCTACACAACTATGCCTGAAATTTCTATCTTAATGACTATGCTATATATTGTGAAGCTGATTTATTGGCTTGATTGTGCTCCCTTTTTTTTTTTGAGTTCAAATACAGTGTCCCTTGCGCTGAAAATGCAAGGTTTCTTCTACGACAGCATGCCAGCATTCCACCATAATAGCTAGTTGTGGAAAATAAAATGCACTGTAATACGTGGTTAAGTGTTTTGAAACGCTGTCTTTCTGTAATTTAAAGTGTTTTGTTTAATTTCGGGGATAACTTTTGAGAAATAGAAGCGCAAACACACACTTTACATCAGACAAAGCGCTATCAGCTCGACCGTACGTCCCCGAAATACGGCGAAAAATGCGACAAAAAGAGTTTCGTGTGGGTCATCCTGAATCATCCCGTGACCCATGGGAACGCATTTTGTGCCTCAGCTTTTTTCTCGAGTCAAACTTGCTCCTCGTTCTGACTCACAAAGGAAGAGTGCAGTGACTAATCAGATCACATTCCCTCGTCACAATGAACATTGACTATAATGTGCGCTCTCCAAGGGCGCACCTTACCGCTTCTGAGATGAGTAAACACACAAGGAGTTTTGATGACACCCCACAAGCTCATTTCACAAGAGTAGCAGTTGAGTCTCACAGGTTTTGCTATTGAAAGAAAAAAATATTGAAAATAACAAAAGTGTGCTTGATCTGTCTCACCTGATGTTTTATTTTTAGCCTTGAAATATTTCTTCCACTACTTTGTAAGTGCTTGAATATAAATTTAAACTATGTTCATAAAGATTTGTGAATAAGCCCTTGAGACTTTTTTTTTTTTTTTTTTTTTATAGCTGAGGTTTCTAAGGAGTGTAAATAGACACATCAATGGCTGTTTGTTTCTATGTGCGAGTGTGTTGGGAGCAGTTGCGTGTGTTATTGAGATTTCAAGGGTGGGGACTGACCAATAGAAAGATGTTTTCTTCTGAAACTATGTGTCACATTGTAGAAGAGAAAGAGCAGTTGTGACATCAAGGCAGCTTCACTTCCAAAATTAGACGCCTCGCCAAGTCCTCAAAAAGGTGAGAAAATGATGGAACTTAATAGAATACACGAATACGACTCCATTGTTTTTCGTTTCATCTTTCGGAAGCCATTGAAGGCTTTAGGAGGTTAACACAGCGGCAACCTATCAGCCTATGCAAATCATCAAATGGAGTCTGACTTTTTTTTTATGTAGGTACTAGAAGGCAAATCCAGTGCGGATGATCCCTGTGTGGGCAGGAAGCCTTGAAGGTTTGCATCATGTCTGCCACGTTCTACCCGAGGGCATTCGAGCTTCCTTACATGCAGAAACACACGCAAACTTGTGCACGCAAGCTACCGTTTCTTTTTTTTTTTCTTTTTCCTCACAGCGCAGCAGGAGTCTGTCTACATCTGTCCTATTGATTAATGAAGCAGGCGCAGCGGGTGTCAGAGGGAGGCAGGAGTCTAGATCAAGGCTGTGAGCTGCATCACTGGCACAGTCGCACCACACAAACACACACACACACACACACACTGTCACCTCGTGCGCACACGTTCACACTCGTGCGCGCTTTCGCTGTCTCTGTCATGTTCTCTCCGTGTCTGTCACAGCAGACACTGCAGACACAGGCGGCCATGACACACAAGTGTACACGCGTACCGAGAGACATGACACACACATCGTCGTAGCTCGCAAATACACCATATCACACACACACACACACACGCTCAGAATGAATTAACATGGCTTGGCTGTGCCGGCGCCTAAGCTGGAAAGGCGTTTTTTTTTTTCTATAAACATAATGTTTGTAGATTAGTTGGGGTTAATGATCCGATTGCCTCGGAGCTGCCACGGCGGCTGGGTGTGTGCACATGTGTGTATATGTGTGTGTGCACATGTGTGTTTTTGGGTAAGGGTAAAAGGTACTGCTCTGTGCTGTCTCCCTCACTTCCAAATGAGACATGCCCCAGGCACCATTACAAGAGCAGTATTTATGCTATTAGGGACCTGGGTTTGCCGCGCTTGCAGTGGTACCAGCACGAAACAGCTAAAATTATGTCTCGACTAACCTCAGTGGGCAGGTCCAGTATTTTCTTTGCATAAATGAGAAATTACACGTTGTGTACTCGAAGGCTATTTTTACAAATCTCCTGTTGGAATATCATGCACATTATTTCTGAGCCATGTAACTGCAAAAGCCAAGGAACAGAGCAAGTTGGGTTTTTTTTTAAAGTGTTTGTCCTTCCAGAGTAGAAATAAAAAAACCCAAAACATTTTTTTTCCCGTCTTTACTTTAGTGTTTAAAACTGGCTTCCCAGTCAAACCAGGAATAGGCAAAGGACTTTCTGTAAGTCTGTGGAGTTGGTGGGTTCACTGAGGGTGTGGTGCCTTGAAGCCCACCTCCCTCTATTTCCCCCCTGCAAACACTCTCTGAGAAACCACCTCTCATGTGTTGCTGAATGGACAGAAAAGTGCACAAATGAAAGAGAGGGGAGAAAGAATGACTGAAAAATGACTGTAAGACCCCAGCAAAAGTGGCCGCCCCCCCTCCACCACCTACATTTTTCCTCCCTTCCTTCTCCTCCAGCGTTCCTGTTGAGGCATGCCTCCGTCCCCGCCAACCAGCATCATTCGTGGCGAGGGTGAGGGGGCAAGAAGAGAAGCGGGGAGGAGGACAAACAAAGGAGCACTGTTGCTGCCTTGCTGGAGGGTCGACACCAGACTGGAGGGGTGCGGTTGGAGGGGTACAGACGGGGGGGAGAAGGGAGTGGAGGTTTTTATCATTAAGAAAAGAGATTAAAATGAATGGGAGGGGAGCGGGGCTGTCTGTTCTGTTCACAGTAATAAAGAGGACAAGCAGTGCCAGTCATTTTTTTTTTTTTTTTTGCACATACACACACACACAGTTGGCACACTCTTTGCAACGCTGCAGTTAGTGTGTGCGAGTGATAGGGGAGGGATGGGGATGGGCCATTGTTTTCTGGCCATTGTACAGTATTTGCTTAACCCTCGTGCTTTATCTGTGCAGCTGTATGCTACAAATGAGACGGTGAAAGGAGCGTATGCATGTGTGTGTGTGTGTGTGTGTGTGTGTGTGTGTGTGTGTGCGCCGTGGCGGCTGTCACAGCTGTTAGCAATTTCATCAGTGCCCTTGAAGACACGCAAGCATATACACTAACACAAACCGTGTTGATTTTTTAACAAAGCAGCGCAGTCATGATAGAACTGTTATCGGAGTAATTCACACGTAAGCAAAAACACTAAATGGACGAGCATGCAAACTGTAAACCGGCGTCATGCATGTGTACAGTGTAACCGTCCGCTTTCCTTTACCGCTGCTTACAGAAAGTGTTTCCTGACCCTAACTTGACCCTCATTCCTTGTTACATTGAGCAATCTTGTTCAAATACAACACTTCTTGCTCAGGGTCTCTCGGTCTTGCTCCGGTTTTCAAACAAATGTTTTTTTTTTTAATAGTTACTCAATACTCGAGATGGAATGCAACTTTCCAAACTGTATTTTGACTTTAAACAGATTCTGTTTTTGGCCATGAACTGTATTGATTTTTAATCACCGCGCCGATCTTGTGTCTTATATTCTTCCCGCGCCATAAGTAAGGAACTGTTTGGAAAGAAAGCCGGATTACAGGCAGTAGCTGGTCTCCCTTCAGGCCCAGACTCTATGAATGAAGAGTTTTTTTATGTATTTCCTTTTTTTTTTTTCCGGTGCCGGTTTAGATATCTACACTCCACTCGAACAGATTCTTAATGGTCCGCTTCCTCTTTCTGTCCTTTGCTGTGTCAGGTCATGAAAGGGAGCTGGCACAAGAAGAAGAAGAAACTGAAGAGTGCTCGCAGTGTTAGCCTTCACCGCGGAGGGAAGAAAGAGAAGCAGAAAAACACCCCCCGAGCAGAACGCAACGAGGGGAAAGACGAATGATTAAAGAGAGGTAAGAGTTTGCTCCGAGGTTACACATTGTCTTGTGAGTGCGCGTCTGTCTGTCTGTCTGTCTGTCTGTCTGTGTCGTCTTTCCACACGGTTGTCTGAGTCAACCGTGCACCTGGGGTGGGGTTGGTGTTTGCGTGCGTGCGCGGTTTTTGTTAAGTGTGTCTGTTTGTTTTGTGCGTCCCCGGTGTCGAGCCATATCCACCAGATGAAGAACGTATCATCCTGTGTGAGTCACCCACCTCATCCCCCAGCTCCTCTGTTGTCTTTACCTTGTTTTCCACTCATCCATTTCTCTGTACTGAAGAGGGACCCATGAACACATGTCGTGTGCGTAGATTTATCGCAGGACTTTTGTAATTCAGTATCTCTAAAATGCAGAAAATACACAAAGTAGAACAAGTTGATTGAACTTTTTTCTACAACAGAATCTGAAATTAGAGTTTCAATATTTAAATTATAAAGTGTTAGAACATCTAGTTGAGATTTTGTTTAGTATGAAATCACTTAAAGATGCACAAAACCATACAAACTCCACCTGTGCTATCCCAGATCCCGTTCCTGTTTTCTGTCAGAGAATCCATTTCACGTGGTGAGCATTTGACCTTTTCTCTCAAGCATCCATTACTGTGAAAAAAGTCCAGGGATGCAGTGAGAGAAAACAAACAAAGAAAAAAACAAACCTTGGAGAAGAGCAAACCCAAAAGGCACAACACAGGAGTGAAACTGGGAGAAGAGCCACCTTATTGTCTTAGCTGTGTTTCGGCGGTTCCCGAAGTGAGCAGTCTCTCGGAGAGTAATCTCCTCACTCTCTCTGTGTGAGGCTGAAAGCAGCAGTAAATCATTTTCTACCATGCAGACATGGGCAGAATGGCTGCCACCATGCACAGATAGGAGGGATGGTTTAAAAAAGGGAGGGGCGGCGAGAGGGAAGGAAAACGTTGTTTTTCTCAGTTCTTGTCATCCTCCCTTCTGATGAGACTCTCCTCCACCTCAACCTTCCACCCAGAGGTTACCATAGCAGAGCTGTGATTTTTCTTCAAAGCTGTTTTTTTGGGTCCGGTCCAGCATTTCTTCCTCTTACACACAGAAGATCCACTGCTCTCCATCTGCTATTATTCCTACTTTTCCCCCCTTTATCCTCCCATAAGTATATGCACTTCATATCGTATTATTACTGTTGCTGCTATTGGCTCCATAAATGGCAGCTTCACTATTTCCTTTCTTTCGGGTGATTCGGCTGTTAGGGAGCTGAACCTGTGACTCTCCTCTTATGAACTGCCTCGGTGGTGTGCCCTCCCAGTACAAAAAAAAAAAAAAACCTGTCAATTTTTCCACTCTCTGTAATACAACGTCCAGCTCAGTGTGCAGCACTTTCAAAATGAATACACCTCCCAATAATGTCCTACAGAGGACAGAGCAAATTCAATTCAGTGTATTTCAGTTCATTTCATTCCAGGTTAACTCTTCTCATATCACCCCAATCCAGCTGCACTCAAATTCTCTCTTCTAGCTCCTCATGTCTTGCACTCACCTATTTTCAGTCTGCCTGAGTCATGCTGCCTCCTATCTTCTTCTTCTTCTTTTTTTTTTTTTTACATTTTCAGCTCCTTTCAGTTCTGTCTTGAGCAATCAGTTTCTCGGGTTTATGCATGTGCAACTAACCTTTAGCGTTATTTTTGGGCTTCAGTCACTGTCATTCTTCGTTTTGTGATAGTTGTCAGCTTCCCAGAAAAAAAAAAAAAAAAGTGCTCATGACCCAGTCGTTTTCACAATTACTGAAAAAGGGCATTCCGCCATTTTACAAGAGAGGGGGTGGTGATAATGGGGATTAGGAGCATTTTTTAAGGAGCAGAACGGTTTAAATGAGTAGGAAACTATCATCCGAGCTCCAAGTTGTCGAATTGTCATCGTAATCTTTTTTTAATAATTGGCCTCCCTTGCATTTCACATGTCCGTCCAAATCATTAAACCTGGACAAAACAAAAAAATGCTTCTAAATTTAAGTGGTTTTTGAACTCCTTTTAGAAAGAGATGCCAGCTCCTTCTTTCATCTCTGTTTTGATGGATGCTCCTATGTGTCATCCATTTGGGATTAGTGGTGCTATACTACTTCACACAACTCCATTGTTTTACGGACCGCTCAAATGATGCAAGGCTAGTCTTGGGAAGAAAGAAAGGAAAAAGGTGGAGGATGTTGTAAGCAAATATCCAGACATGCCACTGCTTTCTTCTCTTCCTCTCCCACCTCCCCCCCTACCCTTATTTTTTTTCCTCTCAAGTGTGTCTGCCCTCTGCTTCCGCGGAAGAAGGTCTTTCAGGGGCAGCCGAGTCTGTCTAAGCTGGCTTTAAAAGCTGCAGGACTCGAGAAGCAGCATGACTCTCTTTTTGGTGTCCATTTGTGTATATGGAGGAGGGGCTGCGAAGGCTCAAGCCACAGTGTGTCACAAGGTTTCATATTTCAAATACACGCATATGGGAAAATGACAGGCAAATGAGTCACTCCGTCATGTCATATTGATTCACTGCAGGACTCGGGGACAGAGCGAGTAATTGTCAGTTTCATGCTCACGCAAAATAACCCCGGCAAATGATGGACAGTGGTTCACAATGGTGAGGGGCTACGCACGCTCGGTTGGGGAACGACCATGAAAACCTAATGGACAAGTGTCGAAAATGGTAACATTTGTGTCTGCACAAAGAACTCCATGAAACAACAGAGTGCTCCTCTATCAAAGACTGCCTCCCCCCTACCACCACCACCACCGCCGCCACCTCCCACCCCTCACCCTCCCCAACCAGAAGATTAGAGTGAGAGCTTTTATTGGGTACGAAGCCACAGCAGTTTCAAAATGGATGGATGGATGAAAGATTGATGGGAATGAGGAGGCAGAGATGGAAAAATTAAAACAGAGGAGGAAGAAGAAGATGGTGGGCAGACAAGAATTCGCAGAGAGTGGGAAGCAACAAGAAAGGGGGAAAGAGATAGGGAAATTTCAAAGTGAGCATTAGAGAATTATCCATGAGAGAGGGCCAAAAAGTGCAGAGATACTGTAGAACTGGTAAATAAAGAAGCGGGGGTGAGGGCCGATGGAGCGATGCCTCTAATGTCTTTATAAGGCCATAAAATACTGCACTTCCTGGCCTCTGTCTAATTGCTGCGAGGAATGGGATGGGGGAGTCTCAGCTCTACCTGCCTACTAAATGAGGCCCCTAAATCCTCACTGCTTGGCCTTGGGGGCTTTCTTTTGGATTGCTATGCCAGCAACATGGACGTGGAGAGAGAGCAAGTCAAAGAAGGCCTATGTTACAGTCGTCTTTATTGCTCTTCTGCTCGAGGCTGACGTTGGGAAAGGAAACGTAGAATAAGAAGGACGAGGAGGTTAGAGGAAAAAATCCAAACACGGAGAGCTAAGAATATAAGGTACTTAAACGCCATTCCCAACAATAACCAATTTAAAATACGGCTGAGAAAGAACACAGTTGAGAGAGAGAGGATTTTATTGACTCAGCAGGAAAAGACTGTAGAAGTGGCTATGCTTCCCCAAGGAGCTGTATGCTGAACTCTTAAAAACGTGAAAAGTAACGCTTGCCATCATTGGAAACGAAAACATTTTCATTTCATAAACTGCTTGTCTAAGGGACCCTGCCCCAACCTCTAACCCACAGTAATGAACAGGGCCTTCAGAGGAGGAGAAAAGCTCCAGTCTTTTTTTTTTCAAAACAGTCTGGTAAAAGGTACAAAGTCGCTCTAAACTATGACCCAGATAAGTGCAGATACACAGCACTTGAATGGTAAAGCACTTATTATTTCCCTTAATATTTATTCTAAAGTGAGGCAGGATCAATTTAAACACTGTGGCTGTCTTATCAAATGCTGTGGAGCGTAAATCATAAAAGATATCAAAGTGAAAAAAAAAAGCAGTCCTTGCCAAAAAAAAAGGAGCCTTCAACTGCATCCAGATATTCTATATTTAAGGTAACCACATGCTAACAGATGTGCTTGATGCATCAGTGGGAAGAAAAGTTGGATTCACAGATGAAAGAAGTCTGTCGCTCAGCAGACTGAAATTACAACAAAACGCCATAGATCATATCACAAATGATGCATTTTCAAATTACAGTCTGATGTGTTCTGGCATATATGCTGGCAGATATGAAGAAAAAACTTTTTGTCCACAACATAATGCTGAGAAAGACACTCGGGCTAATTTTAGAATCTTTTATCCAGCAGAGCAGCTCCGACTCTGCTCTTTATAATGGAGCACATGTAGCAGAGTGTGGATCACAGCTAAGCAGGCAGTGGTGCGGAGTCAAGCGGTGACTTGCAATGAGTTGCTAAATAGTGTTTATTGCTGGACAGTTAATAATCAAGTAGCCCATCATTGTCCTTTCTCAATGTACCCTAATGAATAAATATAGGTTATATATGAGTATATCAGTATCAGTCAGGCATGGGTTTGAATCATTTTAACGTCATTTCTATATCATTAATCGTTTACTATTATTTGTCACTGCTGTGGAATTTATGCCTTAACGTCGCTCCGCGCCACAAAGCCCATACGTGTCGCGGTTTCTCCTTCCATCCAGGCGCCCTATACGCTGTACATTTGAAACGAATGGTAATTTCAGGGATTGTGATTTTGTTTTCCAAAATGTAAATTCCAGTCTTAATCTTTTGTCAGTGACTTATGAGTTTATGAGCGGCGCGCCTAACTTTTCGCTTATTTTGATGAAGAGGGTACGAGGGTTGAGGGTTGAGGGGGGGATTGTATTGTGACTAAACTTGCCACGCTACAGGAGCTGTATAACAGTTGCCTTTTTTGTACTGGGTTTTATCAGTGGGTGAGAGAATGAAAAGGAGTCAAAGGCAGCCCCCTAAGCTTTTCATAATGCGTCCCGAGAGGAGACAAAGGCCCGCATTCACTGCTGGGTGTCGATAAGACCTATCATTAGTCTGCCATTGGAGGTATTACTGACACACACAAACACACTTGCATGCAC